CTAAAAAAAGGTTCTTACTATCTTATGAATCTCATTCTATACAGATGCTGTGACTAAGGTCAATCAGTCGTTAGATTTTTGATGAAAATGACTACTTTGATCGCTAATTTTTTAATTATGTGTGTATACGTATGCCTATTTAATAAATTCGCTTTTACAAAACTCATATTTTGTTTTCATTTTGTTGTTATGTGATATAAATAATAAATTAAGAGATCACCATCACTCGAAGCTACTTATATACGACAAACAATTGCCAAACGAAACCTATTGTGCGACGGTTAAAAAAAATTGCACGGCGACGGCGTGTGAATGACTATTGTTTACAACTTAATAAAAATGCATCACCCCACTCCTTAAAGTACACTTTGTTATTTATTATACAATCAAACGTAGATGTAATGAATTATAGACAAACAAAAGATAAAGTCCAAATAACTAGATATCTGAAACCAAATGTTACATAACTCGAATTTCACATTTGTCGTGGTTGAATGGTAACACACGCATTTATATGGTCCATACCTTTTTTTTACGTCAAGGAAATGCATTAGGCTCTACCCCTGCAAGCGACAGGGGGTGTGTGGGACTCTCCTACGTGAGCCCACGCCGTAGCTAGCCGTGTGGTAGGCTCCCGAAGGCCTACCCAAAACATTTTTAATTGTGCAATAAAGCGTGAATAAAATAAATATATATTTAATAAATAAGTGCGAGTCGGATTTTTTTTACCCTTTGTGTGTAAAAAATGCAAAAAAACTTTTGTTGTAAGAAAGTCAACTTTGATATTTATTTTATAATGTTATTTACAATACATGATAAGATAAATATTCGAGTTGAGGAGAACCTTTTACGAAATAAAAGTGTAATCGTTTGATGTTAAAAATAACAATAATGGTAAATGGTGTGTATTCATTACTAATACGTAAATACATTACATTCAAATAAACAAAAACTAGTACCTATAGAAATACTTCATTAAAACGAGCAGTAGGTTATTGCGTATGATACAAAACTAAATATTTTCTCAATCAACTTTACCACTAAAAGCTCAGTTATCTAAATCGTGTTCAGCTGTCACTAGATATTATAAGTTGCCACCAATAAAGAACTTACATTATAGCACACAATGACAATTTTAATGTCTGTAACACATAATAAGAAATACTTTATTATGATCAAAAGCGCTTACATTCAATTGATGCTTATAAATAACGTCCGAATAAATTAAGTTAAATAAGAAAACGATGTAAAATACGTAATGATATGATTGAACACACGAATTTACAAAATTTTATTGTTAGAAAAGAAATACAAGGGATATAATTTTTAAATTATTTATATTTATTTTATTCCTTTTAGTGAGAATTCAACTATGTATACAAGTTATATCTATATGTTGGTACCCGTATTGCTATAATTAAAGAAAAAAATGTTGTTCTTATTTTTAAATGGCGCCATAAACCAAATAAACATTTATATTTCAACTTGCACACGGCAGATATCAACACACTCACAACTAATTGACCGGAAACAAATTAAAATTATATGTAGTGAATTTGTTTTTATGTGTCATTAATATATTATATTTCTTATATCGCAATAATAATTGAAGTTTTTTATTTTTACATAAACATTTATTATATGTTAAGCTGTCGTAGTGATTAAAGAAAATAGCATTGTAGTAACGCACAATCGCGAAGGGTCTAATTGACGGCCCACGATGCAATTGTTTTGGGACGCGAATTGATGCGGTAATGATTGTGCTGACCTTAGCCCGCTTACATAGAGCCCGACTGTATCCGCTGAATTTGTTCTCAACACTTAAGCCTACATCTAAAGACAAAAAACTTTTAGTTTACAAACTTTTAGTCCATCTCTCGCGTCCACGACGTATGAGAACTGCTTAATTAAGTTCTAATTTCGAAATTATTCCAAAAAGGTTAGACATCGACATGACGTTTATGAATTTAAAATGCTTTTATACATTGTTGTCGAGAGTTCTAGCTGAAAATGTCGTGCTTGCTTTGAAGCTTATGCCATAGAGATGATACGAATCCGACCGCGGGATGACTTTGCGGTTACCGAAAAAGGTCACAACAGTTTCTAAGCATGGTAATTTTCTATATAGAAATAATTGAAGCTTTGTATCGATGCTAAAATTGTAAGGTCAAAAGTAAAACATAAGCCAGTATTTTTCACCACTAATAACGTTAAGACGGAGCTCTATGGCGCAGTGGCTAACGCGCGTGGTCTGCGATACGGTTGTTAAGCAACTTTAGCAATGGTCAGTCGTAGGATGGGTGACCAAAAATTTAATGAAAGCACGTAAAACCATTGGTCCTGGCTGTATCTGTCGTAGTTAATACCCACTGGGGCCGCGTGATAAGTTATGGCCTATCCTCCCCATTCGATTCGATTCTATTCATAGGGAAGGCATACGCCCCAGCGGAGCGGGGTCATTAATAGGCCGGTGATGATGATGATGGGGCTTGGGTGTCAGAAAAAAGAAAAACATCAGCGCACTCGTCAATAAGATAGATAGGAACAGAGGATAGCATATTGCGCGTTAATTTTATTAATAACTCATAAAAATAAATTTTAAAAGTAAAGTCAATTTTATTAATAAATATTATAGTGAGCAACAGTTTCTACATTTGTTTATTTAATATATGTTACACAAACATATATTAAATAAACGTATTTCTGAAGATTTATTTCATTCAATCATAAAAAATCTTTCACCTAGAGAAAGCTACATACGCGGGTGATAGAGGCTATAAATTGATGCGGGCGAAGTAGCGAATAACAGCTAGTTAATAATAAAACTTTTGGTGGGTTGTTTGTGATGTCCAATATATGTATATATCTTGAATTATTTAGTATACTGATGTATATCTTCAGTTAACATACTTTCAAACTATGCGGAATATATCCAGTAAAACGGCCTCCGCACAGTCCTTGCACTCACAGACAATGGACAGGCTAATTTACATAGAGACTATTGTTGCATGGCTAAACTTTTGTGTGGCAAAACGTATTCGAAATGCATATAACTGAATACAAATTAAACAAACTGGATATTCGATTCACTAAACAATCTTCAACAAATAGGTAGGAACTTTATTAATTTACTAACTAGGTAAATTAAATGGTAACTAGGTAAATTAATACTACCATAGGTTACCTACGCAGAAACGGCTAAGTTCTATGGATAGGAATACGTATCGTATAGGTATTTTGGCTCAGTTTTCCCGTAACTTCACCCGTGTAAAATAGCCTATGTCGCCCGCGTATGACGTAGCTTTCCGTAGCTGAAAGAATTTTTAAAATCGGTCCAGTGATTTCGGTCCTATATATTTCCTCTTTATAATATAAGTAACGAATTTTTTGAGCCATAGATGAGTCCATATTACTAGGTAGAGGGTTGCAGTCTTTAAAAACTTTTTGTATGCGCATGCACACAAAAATTTAATACCAATAGGTACCATGCCATGCCCGATTACCTAGCGAAGCAAAGTCATTAGGTCTTTCATCTTGATTCTGGTTAAAGATGATTCGTCTTCACATAAGTGTAGCTTGTATAATTACTGTATGTAGTGACCCGTTTGTACTTGAGAGGAAATTTAATAAAAAAGGGCATTTTAAAAAAGAACGACCAAGTGCGAGAAGCATTATCCATAAAAATCGTATATAGTATTTGTTATTATATAAAGCCTAAAATATATGAATTATTAATACATAATAATCAAGGCTAAGATCCCTAGAGTCGCAGGTAGGTTTAACAGAGATGGTAGATCACCAAACGGCACACGCCCAGATCAGCACTGATTACATTAGCAACGGATATTGATATTGATTCGGATCATGTTACATATTAATTAAACAAAATACGATAATCACGCTCAGACATAGACTGTAAGGTTGCAGTTCTAATTTCGAGCACTTACTAATGCAAATCAGAAGAGACCTCTACTCGGTTATTAATAACCAGGGTCTTGTGATTGGATGCGCCCGCGCGCATCGCCCCGCGTGATTTATATATCGACCTTCGGATGTTACTTGATAAAATTATAGCGTTCACATTAGAATTTAGGGATATTTTTATTACAGATGTATATATTGCCATCCTAAGTTAATATGCCAAATTTAGGCTGTTCTCTTTTAAAATCCGTCGTAATATCAAATAGAGTAGAACCCGTTTAAGACGATCACGCTTAATACGATTTCTCGCATAATACGCCATTTTGCATCAGTCCCTGCAACTTGAGACATGTTTTCATGCATTCTTTAACGCTTAATAGATCGTCGTCCCGTTTAATACGCCCCTAACGACCAACACATATTACCTCCTACCTCAGCGACAGCGGCCAGCGAACTGAACTGAAGCGACGTTGACGAGCGACTGGTAAGGCGAAAAATCTTCCTGGATATTCTTCCATTGATGATAATGTATCACCGTACGAAATTCAATTAGTTGAAGATCTTATTGAGAGTGTGAATAACACACAAGAAGAGGCTCAAAGTGATAATGATAAAGAAGAAGATGAGTCAACTCCGATTTTGACACACGCCCAGACATTATCAGCAGTTAATGATTTAAGACGCTATGTAATATTCCAAAAGAGTGACATGAAACAATACAAAAATTACCAAATCATGTTGGTGAGAAAATAAACTTCGAAAATGAATTTCGTAATTAGTAGTTGAAAGTTAATTTATTAGTATGAATGTTGTTACTTCATTAAAAAAATACTTATGAACGACACTGTAATTAAAAAAAAAAAATCGATAACTTTTTCTTTTATTAAAAGCCTATCTGCGTGTCAAGTGATTAAATTAAAATAAATTAATTTCTACGTGTAAATGGAAAACGTAATGAATGAAAGATGGCGATGACATCATATATTGACATTTGATTCTTTTCCGTCATCAAAATTTTAAAAAAACTGCTTGAAGGTTTCGGATTCAGGGTAAATGGCATAATGATTAAAAGCTATAAAGTCGTTATAGATCTTTAATATCAGAAATATGTTGAGTAAAACAAAAATTACATTTCTTACATACTTATGTAATAAACGAAAATTATAAATATCAGGTAACATAACTAACGTTAAGTAAGAACGATATTATTTAATTACTATTTATTTCTTAAACTAAAAATTAAACTTAACACTTACTCAATATTAAGTATTTATAGATAAAACTGTTAATTTATTAAAAATTAGTATTGAAATCCTAGATTTATAATAAAGGACTTTGAAAATATCAGTTGCTTTTCTAGTTCATCGTTTTGTTCTTTTAGCCGAATTAGAGACTAATCAAACCATTTATAGACCGACTTAACATTCTTGCACCTTCTTTCATCATATATACTTACTTACACTTTCTGCCGTCTCACAGAGATCTTTGTTCGGACTTATTTTCTCGATTGACAGGGTTCACTTTACAAGTGATCTTATATGACTCGACCATTTTCACCGAATCACGTACCAATATAGTTGATCGTATAGTGAACGTGTGTGAGAAACAAACAGTGGCGTCGCATAACGAAGTGTGGAAACTCAAATATAATCTATAGTGGGTCTTGTCCATCTTAGGTTTAATTTTCATCTCTACCCGACCCGGCAACTTTGTTCCTTTATGGGGACTAGAACCGACAAACTCGAAATGTTCATGAGTAACATCCTTATTGTTGTCGTCGCGTATACACACGTTCCACTCTTGAGGAGCGCCGGGAGTGAATTTGACATTCTTAATATCAGAGTCCAAACTCACGTTAAAGTATATAATGAGATTCCCGCACTTTCTGTTCACGAACAAATCGTTTTTGTAAAGTATCAAATTCTCCGGTTCGACGAATTTGCTCTCGGGCATGCGCACTTTGAACTCTTGACACACGTTCTTGGCTAAGTTGAGGAGTTTTATGCTGTGATTGTTCGTGTCGGCTATATATAAGTATTTGCCGTCTCCTGTAACGGATATGCCGGATGGTTCGTTGAACTTCACCGGATCGGCGGTCTCTATCATGCTAGGGTTAAGTGTGGTCACCTTCTGTGGACCAACTTCGACTTTCTTTATTTTGTGGTTGTAAGAGTCGGCTACGTATAGAGTTTTGTTCGATTCACTATATGCTACGCCGAGGGGATGTTGGAATTTTGCCTCAACCCCTATGTCGTCCACGTCTCCGAAGGCGAAAAGGTTCTGAGGAGACACGAAAAGTTCATTAACATTTCAAAATAATTAGACTTGAAGAAGGATACTGGAAAAGAGGTTATAATCATTTGCTTAAATTAATTGTACAACACGGGTATTAACAGGATTAGGCAAATAGTTAGGTTTTTCCACCTTCCAGTCTATATGCACTTAAATTGACTATACGTAAATACCTACTTAAAAAAATATTACTATTATAAATTATTATTAAATAACTAGACTTCAATGATTTTATCGCATGTTAAACCTGATATATGATACAGTTGTATTATTTAAGTATTTTATTAGATATTATTATGAATGCAAATTCACTAAAATAATATGTTTAAATTCAATATACGTACCAAAGGGTTTCTATCGCCGCCACAGAGCGTGGTCACCTGCCCCGTGGACAGTCCTATCCTTCTTATAGACGAGCTCTCAGAGTCTGCCACGAAAATCTCCGGGTTTGAACCTTAATTGTACAAGAAAAAATGGAACTTAATAATCTAATTCAATCTGCTTTATTTATTTTTTGTTTTTTTTTTTTGTATAAAAAATATAACGCAGATTTTATATACATGAAATATTTTATCTAAATTTTATTCACAATTTCTGGCATGAAGCAAAAGTAATTTATATTAATATCAATGATTTATGGACACATTCAAAACATAAATAAATCATCAACATTAAAAAAATGCATTCGACAGTTCAACACTTGAATGGAGAGTGAACATTCTTCTTTATGACATCTTCCTTAGGGGCTGTGATGTCACGCGCTGTTTGCAGTCACGTGACAACGAGTATAAAGTGTTTTTTCATAATTAAGTTAAATAATATTATAAATAAAATAAGCATAGAAGTGTAATTATCGGTAATAGTATAAAAAATACCACCCAAATAAAAAAAATGGTTTATTTTCGTTTACTGTCTACACCCGTATTACATGTATCGAATCCATTATTTCTCAAGTTCGAGATATAAGGATGAATAAAAAAATTGTTAAGAAAAAAGCTGCCAGATAGTTTCAAATCAGCATTTATAACCAGATAAATATAAGCTCGTTTCATATTTTACATATTTACCAGTTTTTAGAGCCAAGCCGGATGGTTGTGCGAAGGAAGCTGTATTCGGATAGGCACTGTTCCTGGCTGCCTCCGCGCCCGATCCCGCGATACACGCACACGTACCTAACGCATACAATTTCATTTGTTCATTATATACTTGGTACGGGTAACGCAATCTATAGCAGCACTCATGGTGGCCAAAAATAGAAACATTGCAAGCTATTTCTTTCCAGTGAATTAAGAATTGTTGATAAATCATGATTTATAATACAAAAAAAAGCATTTTTATTTTATGTTATATCTAAATCATAATTTGTATACGGTAGATAAAGCAATTAATAAACTATGCTGAAATATATATGTAATTTAAAAATAAAAACCAACATCATATTACTTATAGTTTAAAGTAAAATAATGTTCTGATTGATTACTTTTGTTATTATTACCATCATTCATATAAGTACTCGTATTGTCTAAATACAATGACATCTGAGTTGCTTATGAGTTCCAACGGAGATCAACTACTCACTTTAAAGAACATAGTCATTTCAAGGTATCAAAGTTTTTATTTTATATTGTGAATGATACATGAAAATGACCTTTTAGTATTTAACTGAAAAACCATTCATAGTTTTTTAATTAAAATAAAATCCATAGAGTATTGATATATTAGTAAAATCAAATGGTATTTTTGATTAACTAAAAAGTATTCTACAATTTTAAAAAATATATATAGTTCTTATCTTACTAAATAATAAGAAATAATGTACAACGGCTGCATGTCAGGTTACCACATCAAATCAAATTTCCACAATTGATTTTGAACTCTATCTTTAATGTATGAAGATTTAATACCAAGCTAAGATATTTAACAGTTATTATATTTGGTAAATTTCGCATTCACAATGCTATACTGAAGAATATTCTTAATTAAAAATGCTAAGAAAAAACAATTTGTTCCTGGTACTCTAAGATGGGTATTTAAATCAGCTGATGTACCATAAGTGCATGACAATAAGGCTCACTTTTACGAGTAAATTAAACACTGTTGAATTTTAAGAATACCTTCAGAATATGTCTTGTACTTCCACCATATCGTAGTGTCGAGGAACAACGCCCATATCTGATGAGAGCCGGCGCATGCGATCAGCAGCACTCTTCTCTTTTCATCTTTTTTCTCTTTATCTAAAAATGTAAGATACGTAAGAAACTACTTCGGAACAATAGTAAACCAAAATACATGCTTTAAAATTAATCATATGTTCATACAAATCAATTCGTTGGTTATTATATGTTCTGTTCTTATCGGATATTTAACTAGTAGCTGGATTTGGTTGTGAAGAGTTTGAATGTTATGACTTAGTCAATAGAGGTCAAAATTACTATGAATGATCACAGAAGTGTAGTTTTATTTAGCAGCTGCTAAAATATCTGAAACAATTATGTATGTGGGACTATGATTGTTATTGACAACTGGGCAGGTGACTTGTACCATAGGGTTGAACAAGTCCATTACGAATAAAAGGGAATTATAAATACTCCGAAGTGTTTATTTGAATTTGAATAAACCACAACGAAAAAAAATCGGGAGAATAAACACGTATGCTTATCATAAAAATAATGAAAGTTTAAACATTTTTAAACCCCCCCATAACACTGTCCGCCATATTAATGACGTCATTTGGATGTGCACAGATTAAATAAGCTTCTATATAAAAACTAATCTCAGAGATAATTCAGAAATTTCTCAAACGAAATGACATCATAATATGGCGTGTCACGCAATAAACAGTCAAATACCTGTACTCAATTTTAACATAAAGATAAACACGATTTTATGACTCAAAATCAGAATATGTAATTGAAATTTTTGTTTTTCTACAAATTCATTACAACTTTAATACCGAAACTATTCTATTTTTAAAACAAAATTACAAAAAAGGTTATTTTTACATTTCAGAAAGGGTTGTAATTTTTTATTCATATCTTGGGATATAATTTATCTTAAGGCTCCGGTTTGGTGACAGCGGCGTCTTCATATGTTTGTTCGTACCTTGGAATATAAATGCTATTGTTATGGTCACCTTTAGGTTCCGGTTTGGCGGTAGCGGCGTCGTCATCTATCACGAGTGTGGGGTGCGGGGGCGGGGGCGGGGGCGGCGGCGCGCGCACGGACATGTCGAGGTCGGGCGTGCAGTACTGCACCACGTCCCATGGGGACGACAACGTCTGCAGACCGAGGTACTTGCCGCCTGTACCCAAAAATATAAACCTCATTCTTCACAATCTCGAGGCATTGACCATGTACATACAACCAAACACTTATATAATCCAAAATAGGGGTGTAGACAACTTTTTTTTATATTTTCATTTTATAGATTTACATGAAATATATCTAAAATATTTAAATATATAATAAGCAGTGGTCGGAATTAGGTAGAGTTATTCATTTTCTTACACTGATTTCGTACAGCGAAAGAATAAAGTGGATATGCCTCAAATTCCGAGATTAATTTTAAAGAGCAGAAAAAAATCCCGTGATTTTTTAAATAAAAAGTTATTTACTTTTACACAATTTAAACTACTGCATGCACGACGTTGCCAAACTTACATCAATGACATCGGATGTCCAAAGTTGCAAAATACCAATACGCGCGATGTTGCCACATTTGTAGTTCGCACAACATAGCTTGTGAGAACAAAAGAATACAATAGCGCAAATGCGGAGCACTCCCCACTTAACGTAATGTACTAGATTGTGTCTCTTTCTACCGCATTCAAACTATCTAAATCCCGGGAAGGTCCACATTCATATCAACATTTCGATGCAAGTACATAAATAACTCTACCTAATTCCTCTGATAATAAGTTAAAATAAAAAAATTAATTTAATTATTAAAATTTACCGCGTAAACACCAACTTATGTCATGGCGTCGCTATGACGTCACGCCCCTCTATCGTTTTATGAATGCAAAAGGTTTAATTCTCTAAGTTCGGATATGTCGCTGTCCGTTCTTATGACAAAGAGCATAAAATATTTGATTTTTAATTTTAATAATATTTTAAATATAATGAAAGTGTGATTATCGGTAATATTATTTAAACACTAACAGAAAAAAAAATCGTTTACTATCTACACCCATATTACTTGTTAGTGTTATTCATTGAGAATATTTTCCGGTACAGCATTGTAACTGCAAAATTGATTAAAAAAATAAAATAATAAGAACAAATAAATTTAATTATAGTTATTAATAAATTGATAACCACAAACTCGCGCACGAAGGGTTCCGTACCGAAAACGAGCAAAACATTACTGTTGGCCACTAGACTTGTGTGGGAGCCCCATTAAATATTTATTTTTTTCTGGTTTTTAGTATTTGTTGTCGAAGCGGCAACAGAAATACATCATCTGTGAAAACTTCAACTGTCTAATTTTCACAGAGAGACTACCTGGTGACGGCCAGACAGCATAGTCTTAGTAATAAGGTTTCTGTTTTACCGTTTGGGCACTGAACCCTAAAAAATAAAAAAACATAAAACTGACCCATATCTCCGAATGCGGATTGCTCGCCAGTACCGACAAGTATCTCTACGGTGCCTTCATCGAGGTGCACGGTGCGGAGCGAATGATTGTTAGTATCGCACACCGTTATCACGCTACTCGAAAGCCAACATAAGCCTTGTGGGGAATTGAACTGAGCTTCTGCTAACTCTGGAAATATTATATAATAAATATATGATTATGACAGAAGAATTGTCATTGTTAAGTTGGTATAAACACGCTCAGTTGCACAAACGTCCTTTAAGGTTTAATGACGCTTTTAAACTCTAATGAATGTCAAAATAATGGGTAATGTCACTTTAAACTTATGTCAATTTCAATGGATATTTGTGCAACTGGCTGTCAGTGGGGCGAGAACGAACACTGCGAATAATTATTCCTTTAAGCTCTAGCGGTACTTAATTTGGAAGCGTATCGCTATCGTAATGTATATAGTCGATATAAGTCGCTCGTGCTCCCAATATTTTTTGAAGTACGCATGTGCCACTTACGTAGGCTGGCTAACGTAAACTTACGAATGTTTTTTCATTTAGAATTAGCGGTAAATTATTCAACCATATTTAATGAGATTGTTAAGACGATTACATTGATTCTGTTTGTATTACAATAGGATGACGTCATCAGCATTGTCGTGTCGAATTCACGATACGATGACGAAAGTACTTCTTTTTACGAACTTAAGTAATCCAATCGATTAATCTTCTTAATTATATTCCAATTTCACAGTTTTTATTAATAATACAGTAAAAATTATTTTACATTCATGAAAATACTAACTGCCATCTTTTAAGCCGGGTTCTCCTGCACCAACAATCCTCAATATAACTCCAGAGCAATCCGTGAGAACTATACGGTGATGTCCAGTATCTGATATAGCTAGGAATGGCTCATCTGCCCTCCCACGATAAAACGGATTTATAGCAACCTAAAATAATATTTATAACATGTCATGATCAATTTATTTAACTATGTTAAACATTTAAGTTGACTATACTCTTTTTTTAATATTCTATTATTAAAATTTACATTTGCCATTAATACCTCCATTCATACACAAAACAATATTTGAAATAGATACTTTGATATTTTTTATTTTGTACAGGCATAAGATTAGAATAGCACATGTAGTAAAATATTTTTCTAAAATTTGTCTTTTGGAAATTAACCTTTATTGTTTCATCCAAATATGCAGCACTAATGTACTATTGAATAAAATTACACTATTAAATTAAATACAAATTTAAATTTCGAAATTCCTACTATGCTCATATAACTTTACTGTTTGCCACTAGACTCTGAATGAAGTTTGTTTTATTAAAAATTATTTACTCCATGAGCTAGTGCTGCAATCTGGTGACAAAAAGTTGCGGTAATAAATCCTGTTATTTTACGATGGATCTATAACAAATACAGTAACAGTACAGTAATTTAAAAAAAAATGTAAAATATGTTAACTCGCCTTTCCAGGAAATAGAAGTGCTGCATCATCTTTCACTTTCATATGTTTTGAGAGTGAAACAGGCAGTGGTGCACTCGACAAACGAGAACTGAAATGTCGTATTGTTGCCTCGACATACCAAACTAACTCTTGTCGATGGCCCTCTCCGGTTAACACAAATAAAGGTTTGTTTTGTGGCCCTAGTGGGAAAAATATGCATTTTACAATAAAGACCAGATTTTTTTAGACAGTGTCCACTACTTTAAAAATTTAAATTGACTGCAATATGAAAATAATTTAAACTATGTTAAAATTAAGTAACAACACTAAACATATGTTATTTATAAAAAAATAACATTACTGTTGTTAAAATTTTTAGTCAATATCAAATTTTTTTTATCAAAACTATTTTTGACTAATAATAAGACTATGTTACTTAAAACAAGACTTGTATAATTTAATAGAAACATATTATTAATAGACAATAAACTGTTTTTGCTAATGCAACATTGTTCTATTTAAAAACCCAAATAACTTTTTTTCAAAATTAAAAAAAAAATACCACTACCACTCAACTCATATATACAATAATCACAAATTAAGAATACTGTATAGTCAACTTTCAAATGATAAGGGAAGGCTCAAGTCATTTTCAAAAATCTACAAGAAGCAATAAACTATTATATTTCCATATCATTGCTGTCCACCACAAGTTTTTCTATTTACTTTTATTACCATATTTTTAAGCTAACATTTATACTTATACATTAAAATATACATAAACATTAAAATATACGCATCATATATATAATACAACTTTTTCATGAGATATCATCACTCATAAAATCGTAAAAAAAAATATTTAACCATATCTATATCAAACAGTTAATTACCCAGAATTAGAAGTGTGGGCCAACATTTTATTCCTAGGGCCTCCCATTGAGTACTCTCTGGGTCATTTACAACCGGATGGTGAATACTGTATCTTTGGACAGCTGCCAAAACATTTGCACACTCTTTTTCATTTGTAAATTTAGCACAATGTACACCAATCTGAAAAAATAAATATCTAAACCTGAGATAGTATCAAAAATCAGTCTTGATTGTCACTTTCAGCTAGCTAAATAGCACAGTATAAACTTTTTTTTTTTTAATTACATGTTCCTAATGCTTTTCAGGTTCTATGTTCACTTAGACAATAAAACTATTTAAAAGTATTCTATTTAATACGCACAGCATAACTTAAATTTTAATATAAAGTTATCAATCAACTATAAATGTTCTATATGAAAAATGAGCCTAAAATGATCTAACATTAAAATAAACAAGGTATAAAAAAAATATAAAATAGGTTTGTTATATAATAATACATTTTAAATAGGTAACTATGCAACTATTGAAAAAAATATGTTTTAAGTGTGAAATTATAACATGTGATATAAAATTAATTCAATTCTATACATAAGCAATATATAACTTTATTATTTACCTACCACTACAAGACCGCTATCCACTTTGTGTAGTTTTTCAATGTGAGCTAAGTCAGGCAAGACATGATAACAATTAATGCAGCAGTAGGTCCAAAAGTCCAAAACTACTACTTTTTCAGAACAATGCTGAGTCAGAGATATTGGTTCAGATACATTAACCCATTCTAAATCTGAAAAATATTAGATAAAATTAAATGTTAGATACAATCATATCTGTTACATTTTAAAAGGATATTAAAGCATCTTAAAACACTTAAAAAAGATATATGTTTATCACTATGTACATTAGTACGTACTAAAAAGTTGAACCATCACATACTTTTTTTAAAATCGTCTATAGGTGTAACTATAGACCAAACTTTCTTTATATGGTTAACAATGAGAGAGTCCCTTTCAGCTTCGTTGTTTATTGATGTTATAGCATCTGTTAAATCCATACAAGCTTGAGCAACATAATCCAAAGCACTCGAATCCATTATTATGCTGGATGGATCGCAAATAAAAACAACATTAACCCAAAGAGTAGTATTATCATTATCCACAGACTTGGTAGGTCACATAGAGTAAGGTAGAGTGGAAATATTTTCTATGGTTATATAAATATCATGCAATCTGAAGTTGACATCAAAAACATCATGTTGTCTTTTTTTAACTAATAAGAAGTTTCTTTAGTAAACAAAGATAACACTAGTGTGACAGTTCAAAATTTTTAACGTGACGTCATGAGATATAGCTATCGTACCACCTGTCAGCCATTTGCAAATTTGCTTTGCGTATTCTCGGAAGTAGTTCAGCTGTCAGTGTTATAAGTTTTGTGGTTATTTTCATTTATAACTTTAATTTATATAACTTTCATGGCAGAAAATTGTAAATTATTTATGCAAAACAATGCCTAGGTGCTGTATAATTGGTTGTGCGTCATCAATATCCCGCAAACCGAGCAATATTACGTTTCACCGGTAAGTTAAACACTTTCTTGGAATAACAGTATTTAAAACGTAAGTAAGTTATTCTGAAAATGATTGCGTGTATAAATCGATACATATCGTATTTTGGCGTGTTCTATTTATGCTATATTGCTCTTTTCGTTTATATTTTTATAATATTTCGGTCCGTAAATAATATTGTTTACATGGCTAGTGTCGTTACTTTAACATATGGTTTATATCGATAATTTTAATATTTAAAAATATATTAATTATTTTAGATTACCAAAAGATGAAACAAAAGAGGAAAATGGCCGAGTTACATAGAAGCAGAAAATATTAAATGTAATGAAAAAGTTACTTTTATCTGCTCACTTCATTTTAGGGAAAGTTGTTTGAATCGAACTTTAAATATAATAAAATTACGAGATGATGCATTGCCAATCAAATACTCTGGTAAGAATTTTTGACAATTGCTTTTAACTTATTTAAAAAAAAATGTCTATTACACTTAGTTAATTTTCATTTGATTTTACTGATTTATTTATTTAGTTTTTTATATAGTCATTTTGTTATTCTATAAATGTACCTTATTTTTAGTCTTGCGGTCATATGACGACTATTTTAATTGAAAAAAATCAGAATGCAATATATAATAATATTAAAATATAAAATTCTGATCATAATATACTCCCAGTAAAATATACAATAAAATGAGTTAAATAATTTTAATAAAAATTAAAATATGCACACTTATCAAATTAAAGGCATAGTTAAAGGTTTTCTTTGCTGTTCAATAGTATAATCTTAATACCCAAATAATTATTTTGCGGCGTGGATTTTATTTTGCTGATGCATCATAAAATACGCTACCTTTTTGAATTTAAATTGCTGACCGTTATCATGATTGTTCACAGAACATGAACTGCAGACTGTTTTAGTGCTGAGAAAATATTTGTATGCTTGATTAATCGGCTGTTTTCTTCTTGCTAACCAATTTTTTTAATAAAATGCCAATTGTTACTTCTTTAATAATGTTACTGTTATGCCAATTGTTACTTATTCATCATCAACTTTGTTTTCTTTATTTTCTCTTGTTTATTCATCAAAGTTTACAGTATTTTTATGTTCTTATACCAATAATATAATACAAAGATTATGTAGGTGTTTCAAGTTTTCTATGTTTACTACTAAACAAAATGTTCTGAACTAAAATTGTGACACAGTACGCACGGTATCTCACTTAATGAGGAGGAAGCGAAATTTATTCAGTCAAAACAATTTATTGAATAAATTTATAGACAAGTTGGCTTACTAGTTACAAGCATATAAGAAAGTCGAAACTCTGCGCTTATAGTTCAGCAATCTATTACGGGAAACCTTGTACCGAGAAAAGAAGAAACTGTAAGAAAGGAACCGGTAAGAAACTGCAAGGGCTGCTTTTGCACCCTGTTTAATTTCGTACTGAAAAATAAAAAATGACTTCCTTGGACCAAAATGTCACTTTCCACCAAAACAATAAAAAATATATAACAGACAAAAAAAGCATAATAATTCATTCGTCAATCGACTCATTAAAAGCTTATTATAGTTACCGTGGTAATTATCTTGGACAGTAGTCACACTTCCCGTGGATGCAAAATTAAGCTTATGTTAAAAAAACTATTTAATTATAATTGCAAAATGTCAACTTGACAATATATATGGAAATAATAATAAAACACGATTGAAATTATTGTAAAACTTTTAAGATATATATTTTGGTACTATAGTTCTTAAAACTATGTAAAATTGGCTATATTAGAGGAAAAAGAAACATATTTATCGAGGTACAATCATATTATAAAATTATATTATTAAATAATATAAATGTGAAAGTTTGTGAGGATGGATGTTGGTTACTCTCATGTAAAAACTACTGAACGGATTTTGATGAAATTTGGAATACGAATAATCTTTTACCCGTGGGAAGCGCCATCATACGCTGGTAACATATGTTATATTTACTATAGTGACGCAACGGAGTCGCAAGAACAAAGAACGCAAGAAATTTTAGATGTCCAACAAAATACGAGCAAAAGATTGCTTAATGATTTATAAATAATTGATAAATTCACGCCACTTTTAAAAAAATATTATTTTCTTGATACTGGCTTGAATTTTTCAATTTAATTAATAATAATCATAAATAGAATTGGTACGTAAGTGTGAAATGAATAGAAGTGTAATAGGTAATAGTTTAGCCATGCCCCTAACAATGAAAATTATATTATATTATTTAATAAGTAGTAGTATTGTAGCAGTTTCACGAAATACTAACTTTTATTTAATATGACTTCAATGTCGATACAAATATCGATATCTTGGGTCACGCCCTATGACAATCCGCCATCGAAGAATTTGCATTTGAAGTTTAGGCATATACGCTTTTTTCGTAGGTATGGCCGGTCCTCTTCTTTTATGTCTATGGTAGGTCATTATCCTTTCCCTTAGTGATGCGACTTGAACCCTATTTTTACTCGAGTAACTCAAGTGAATTGTTTAAAACTCGTACTCTAGGGAAAAAAAAAATCACTTATATACTATATGCACTAGAGTTATCGCGTAAACTCGGCGCATTGATTTGATTCTCTAATTTATTAATCTACAGCTTATTTTTTTATTTTCTTGATTACTCAGATAAATAATATATGAAAACTTTCAATATGTATTTTATTTATATAATGTATGTATAATTCCTAAGAGGTTTACTTGCCATGGCAAAATGTACAAGCCGTGCCTGCACTATTATACATTAAAAAAATATCCTAAGAGACTCTAGGGATGTCCTAGAGATGTGACTTTGTACATAAAAAAGCTATTTTAATGAGAAAGTATTTTAAAATGCGAAAGCACTAAAAAGCACCTCCACTAGACGGCGACTCTAGCAAATATTGATTTTTACCGGAAACGAATGGACCAAAGATGTTCATTTCCGTTACTTTTAACTAACATATAAAAAAACTGAAATTTTCAAAGATTGAAACTTTGATATCAAAACAAATACGAAAAAGTACAAGTAGAATATGAGTTGCTTATTGAGTTTTGAAAATTAATTCACTCTTAAACTAGAAAAAAATCCGGTATGGTTGTCAGGGAGAAATCGAGAACGTAAAGTAGCGAAATCTAGTTTAATTTCGGGAACTAATGTTTTTTTTTTAATACTTCCTAGTTGATATTTTGTAGCGAATAGTAACACCATCTTTACTGACTTACAAGGATTCCCCGTACATATTTTATTTTGTGGACTTCTTTTGGACTTCTTTCTTTTTGTGGACCCTTTAGAAAGTACGTGATACTTTGACAATTCAAAAAAAAAATATTCATAGATCTTCAATTGTTTAGTCTTTTTTGATTTTTAAAAAACAAGCCCGCTTTTTAGAATAGAAGCCCTGTGTTGCGAGAGATACAGTACAACCAGACTAAGAACAGTTATTTGTAAATCACACGAAAAATTATCCTTTGTTGGGATTCAAACCACAACACTCGATCAGTGGCTAGTTGCATGGCGACAACTCAACCACTCGACCAACCATGCAGTCAAAATCTAACCTATAATGTAAAATAATGATTACAGTTCTTGCCGAAAAATTCTGAAAATAGGCGGCAGATACCCACGCACACCCACCCACGCCAGTGTCTCCACCCAAATCACGTGTATTTTTAATACCTACAAAAAATCTTAACTTTTGACGCCATTTTTGGTTTAATAATCGCGTATTTGACAAAAATATAAATACACGTGATATATTACTATACGCCCCTCCCCCTTTTTATATTTCGTGGTTTTTGACAAACCCCCTCACAAACAAACCCAATCCCCCTTTCGAGCCTTTCGAGATTAATGGACGGCTCCTAACAGAGGTTTGCTTACGGTGGTGGTGTGTAGCATAACATGCGGGCACGCGTAGTATATGAAACATTAGGTCATATTTCGGAAACGTTTCCTAGCCGTACATCGTTCATGCACATACTACACAAGACTAGTCTGCTGGAGTTACACCTATACTACTTAACCAATCATTTATCAAAAAAATTACTGATCCAAACGGACAAAGACGTCAGAACAGCTTTTTGCCTTCGATGCTAAAATCATGACCATATTAATTTATTTCCCGCGTGGTCTTCTATTAAACATAAAAACCTTCCCTATTTATGAAAAAAATAAATGGGTACTTTAAAGAAAAACAAAACACCCTACTGCGTAAAAACTTCTTTTTTTAATATTTATTTTTATTTTAACAAAAAAGTTTAAATAAAAATAAATATTTTAAAGAAAACAAAAAATCCGACTGCGTAAAAACAAATTTTAAAAAATACATGAAATAATTAACTTAAATAAAAACTAAAAAGAAAGAAACAAGCTCAGTAGTTTTAAGTATTAGAATTCTGTTAAGTAATACAGAACAGAACGACTCACAATTGAGACCCCTTGGTAAGATTTGATTGGTAAAATTTGAATGGGCCCCAACTGTGAATCGTTCTGTTTTGTATTACTTAACAGAATTCTTAACTACTAACTACTTTTTGGTTTTCTTTAAAATATTTATTTTTATTTT